CTGTGACTGTGTGTCTGTGTCTGTGTGTGTGTGTGTGTGAGTGTGTGTGTGTGTGTGTCTGTGAGTGTGTGTGTGTGTCTGTGAGTGTGTGTTGTACCGTATGTTTTAGCCAGTGCTCTCTGAATATCGGCCGTAGCTTCTTATGCACAACGACGTCCTGCATGTCCTCCAGAGACGGATGAAGACCTGCCTCCTCCTCAAACGGCAGACAGAACTCATCCACGGGACCTGAGACGCACACACACACACACACACACACACACACACAGACACAGACACACAGACACAGAGACACACACACACACACACAGACACACACACACACACACACACACACACACACACAGACACAGACACACAGACACAGAGACACACACACACACACACAGACACACACACACACATGGATCAGCACCGGTTTATCCCATGACTTCACCTGAGTGTGAGTGAATGGGTGTTTGTTACCGTCGGCTGCTGTGCAGCGAGAGGCCAGTTCCCACAGCACCAGACCCGCGGCGTACATGTCGATCCTCAGAAACGCGTCGCGCTGGAAACTGATCGCTCCCTCCAGCACCTCCGGAGCCATGTAGCGCCGCGTTCCCACCTTCACACAACACAACCAATACAACCTCAGCAATGACTGAGTAGCACTTTACATCTGTCACAAGTAAGGACTATTCAGTCAATGTTTGCCATGAATTGCATTGTGAAACTAGAAAAAAACTGACCTATTCATGCCGGGAAATGTTGTTGTTTGTTTTTGAGCACATGCACAAATCATATTCACCTGTCCGTGTGTGTCGCCTGTAGATTTCCCTGCTTCAAACTTCAGTGCCAGGCCAAAGTCAGCAATACATGCAGTTAAATCATGCTTCACTAACACATTCTTACTCTTGATATCTCTGAGAGAGAGAGAGAGAGAGAGTTTAAGTTACAAAGTAGGGACTGGGGTTTGTGAAAAAGTTTAGAGAAAAATGGTGTAAAAATAAAGAATATATATAAAAATAATACACCTAAAAGTACATTACTATAATGAGTAGAGAAAAAAACATTTATGATGATAATAATAATAATAATAATGTAACTTAACTGAAACTAAATATTTTCCAAACCATATAAATTGGATCTTTATACAAGAAACTAAATTAAATTTTAGGATGAGGGGCCCTCACTACAAAAATAAATTAATAATAATAATAATAATAATAATAAATTAATTAATCAAATTATTAAGTAAATAAATATATTTTAGATTAAAATAAAAAATAAGTATATAAATAAATAAAAAACATTCAACATTCAAAAAAATTATAAAAATCAATATGCTAGAAAAATACATCAATAAATAAACAAAGAAGTATATAAATAAATAAATACCCCAAAACAATCTAACAGTAAATTACTGTAATGAGTAAAAAAAAATTGAAACTAAATATTTTCCAAAGAAACTGTACACATTTTATTATGCAATTTTTATTATAAATTTTTTTACAGTATAAACTGGGTCTTTTTACAAGGCTGTTAATTTTAGGATGGGGGTCCCTCACACAAGGAAGTTTGGGGGTCCTTTGCATCTAAAAGACATTGTGTACCTGTGTGCAATGGCAGGCTTGTGTCCGTCCTTCAGGTTGGGAATGTCCTCGTGTAAATACGCCAAACCGCGCACAAACGTCTGCGATATCAGACACAGCTCATTCCACGACACAACATTAGCCTTCAGGAAATCTGTCAGCGAGCCCTGAGAACAAACACACGTGCAGATGATATCAAACATGTGGCACAGTGAGGTCATGTGACAATAATGTACAATAATACTGTTTCAAACGTTTACCGCTGCATATTACATATTTTGTAAATATTCAGAATTTTACATTGACTGTAGTGAACCTTATGCAGTATTCTGAATAAAGCTGATGACAAACACTTCTGTACCTGTGTGTGTGTGTGTGTGTGTGTGAGAGAGTGTATGAGTAAGTGTGTGTGTGTGAGTGAGTGAGTGTGTGTGTGTGTGAGAGAGAGAGAGTGTATGAGTAAGTGTGTGTGTGTG